CTACTACTTTGATTCAGCCATTCATTCCTTTGATATTTATAATCAGGTGCTCTAGGTACTGAGGACACAGAAGTAAACAAAATAGTGAGCTCTTCTCTGGGCCCAGGAGTAGAATACAGTGGTCCATTTGCCATCCTTGATGGTAGTAGTCTTTCTATATATCGTTAAAATTCATGAAGATATGTCTCTCCTTGTTTCTATGATAAACTTTCAGAATTACTTGTTCCTATAGAGCACATTTCTCATTGAGTTATTTTTCCCCTTATTCTTCAGAATTAAATACAGAATAGCAAGACTTTAACTAGTTAGTTGCCTGATCTGACTCTGCTGAAAGTTGTCAGTTTTGTGAGCATTCTTAGATACATGCAGCTATTGCCTGCTTCATTACTTTCTTTATTTTGAGAGATTATATCGTCATTGAATGTATCAATTAGAGTAGGGTTCTGCAGCAAATAACAGAAACCCCTTTGCAGTGGCTTAAGCAAGTCAGGGATTCCTCATAGAACAGGAAGTCCAGCTGTACACAGTCCTGGGATGGCGCTTTGGGTAAACTGCACCACTGGGGACTCAGAACTTTTCCTCTTTCTGCTCCACCATTCTTAGCATGTGGCTTTGGCCCATGTGGGCATCTTCATGCATCTTTGTAGATAACACATTCTCATAAAAACTAGTATTTTTGTAGTATGTTTGCACACATCATTATATTTGATTGTCAAAATAACCCAATGAGGAGGATACAGATAAAGGAAGCAAGATTTATATGTTAAATAACTTTCCTTAGTTTACCCGATAAGACAGTCACAGAACCAGTCTCTTTTTTAAAAATTTCCAACTTTTATTTTAAGTTCAGGGGTATGTGTGCAGGATGTGCAGGTTTGTTACATAGGTAAATGTGTGCCGTGGTGGTTTGCTACACAGATCATCCCATCACCTAGGTATTAAGCCCAGCATCCATTAGCTGTTCTTTCTGATGCTCTCCCTCCTCCCACCCCCTGCCCTCCAACAGGCCCCAGTGTATGTTGTTCCCCAACACGTGTCTATGTGTTCTCATCCTTCAGCGCGCTCTTATAATTGAGAACATGCAGTGTTTGGTTTTCTGTTCTCACATTAGTTTGCTAAGGATAATGGCCTCCAGCTCCATCCACGTCCCTGCAAAGGACATGATCTTTTATGGCTGCATAGTATTCCATGGTATACATGTACCACATTTTCTTTATTTAGTCTATCATTGACCACATACACCATAGTGTTCCATGGTGTATATGAACCACATTTTCTTGATCCAGTCTATCACTGATGGGCATTTAAGTTGATTCCTTGTCTTTCCTATTGTGACTAGTGCTGCACTGAACATATGTGTGCATGTATCTGTATAATAGAATGATTTATATTCCTGTGCTTATATACCCAGTAATGGGATTGCTGGATCAAATGGTATTTCTGCCACCAGGTCTTTGAGGAATTGCCACACTGTCTTCCACAGTGGTTGAACTAATTTACACTCCCCACCAGCAGTGTAAAAGCATTCCTTTTTCTCCACAACCTTGCCAGCATCTGTTATTTTTTGACTTTTTAATAATAGTCATTCTGACTGAGAACCAGATTCTTTATATTAATTCCCATATTCTTTCTACCATGCCATGTAATTTGTGTTTTCCGACTTTTTTTAACTTCACACCATTGAAGTTTCTTAAACCTATTTAATGCAGGACCATCTTTTCCATGTATACTTTCTCTTCCCAAACTTGATGCATCTAATTAAACAAATATACATGGTATGTATTAGAAGGAAAGCTACTCGAGAGGAGAGATGATGCCTAACAAATCATATGGCATGTTCTACTTTAGAGCTGAAGTCTCATAAATGATTAAACTGGGAAGATGGAGCGCGTATAGAAGTGAACTGAGTGTTCTCTTGGTAACTTTTCTTTTATATTTCTTATTCTGCTAGCATGGGAAGCATGAATCCTCATGGGTTGAAGAATTGTTAATGTTACACAGAGCACGGATCACAGATGTTGAGCACATCACTGGACTCAGCTTCTATCAACAAAGAAAGGAGCCAGTTTCAGACATTTTAAAGTTGAAAACACATTTGCCAACCTTTAGCCAAGAAGACTGATATATTTTTTTATCCCCAAACACCATAAATCTTTTTGAGAGAACCTTATATTTTATATAGTCCTCTATCTACACTATCGCATTGTTCAGAAACTGACGACCAGAGTTAGAATGGAGCCCTTGGTGATGCGGACATCTCAGGGAAACTTGCGTACTCAGCACAGCAGTGGGAGGGTGTTCCTGTTGAATCTTGCACGTATTTGGATGTGTAAGCATCATATACATTGATCAAGTTTGGGGGATAAAGACAGACCACACCTAAAACTGCCTTTCTGCTTCTCTTAAGGGAGAAGTAGCTGTGAACATTGTCTGGATACCAGATATTTGAATCTTACTATATAAACCTTGATGGCATTGAGCAAACAGTAGACTTAGTAGGATTGGGGTAGCCCATGTTATGTGACTATCTTTACGAGAATTTTAAAGCAGTTCTGGATTTCTTTTAAGTTGGAGTTTCATTTCTTTTCATTTTAATCAAAAAAAAAATTAACAGAAGCCAAAATACTTCTGAGATCTTGTTTCAGTCTTTGGTGTATATCCCCTCAAAAGCCAAATTGTTAATCTTGTGTGTGTTTTTTTTTTAAATTTTTTGATTGGATTTCTTTAGATTTAATGGTTCAAACAAGTTCAACTTTGAGGGATGATCTTTGAACATACTTACCTATTACAAAATCTTACTTTGTATTTGTATAAAAAAAAGAGAAATATTCCCATCCTGCTCACTGGTAATTAACATAGGTTTACAATGGCTTTAAATGTGGCCCTTTGACTGTTAAAATTGTATCTTATCTTTGGCGAAACTTCAGAGCACCAGTCAGTACATGCAAAGTACCATTTTTTACTGAGATGGTAGGAATGTTTCTCTCTGTGCACAAGACTTACCCTACCAGCTGCAGAGCTGTTCTCTGTTAAGCAGTGCATTTTGAAGTTCCATAGATTGAAGAGAACATGTCACCTCACATCTTCTTGGTGGACATGATAAATGACACAGTGATCTTGATTTTTTACTACCTTGACTGTACCTTTTTGTGCCTATCTGAATCTTCAAAGACTGCATTAACTTTTAGGCTACCTAGGTCCAATTTAGGTATAATATCAGTACATACACCAAAGATTTTTTACATGTCCTTCGTATGAT